TAGCGCCAATAACGTCTAATCCAGGTGCTATAAGACTCGCCACACGCCGAGTTGTGATGTCAACTCATATCGGGGCTCCGAAACTGCCTATCTCGACGTGCCACAGTGAAACAACAGTGAAACAATGCGCGCATCAAGTAATACGAGTTTGAACTGGCCAGGAAATGCACAAATTAACTCGACATTGTCTCAACGCCATTCAGTGGGCAATTAGCTAACCTTAAAGAGATTTTCGTGTCATCATTTTTAATAAAATTGCTCTCCTTTAGGTAAGTCCACTTATTTCAATTCGTAGCTAGTATTACATGGATTCATGGTATTATGAAAAATTAGGCAAATATCAAGCTCTCACCTAAGTTAAGCATGAGGTGGTTTACGAAAGTAGCATTTCAGCCCATTAGCTAGTGTTTTTACGTTTACCGCGAGTGGCAAAATATTAGATTGCATGCTCATCTGAAAACACGGAACTGCCGACCAGTGAAATCAAAGCATTTGTCAATTTAGCGCCATTAACACCCAGTTGAGGTGCAATATGTCTCGCCTCACGTCGAGGTGTGATCTAAACCCATATCGGGGCCACCAAAACTGGCTATCTCGAGCTAGCTCAACTCAGCACACTGAAACAACAGTGAAACAGTACATGCATCAAATAATACGACTTTAAACTGGCCAGAAAATACACAAATACTAGAGCATACCTGGTACACGCGAGAAGGCCTGGCACAGAAGCCCCCAACGCCTAAGTTAAGATGACGACGGCGGGTCGCCGCGTCATCCTAATCAGACAGGACAGTGTAATTTTAGACACTGTCCTGTATACGATGCGTTAGTCTGTCTGAGTCTGATCTGACCTAAGCGACCGAGCAACCGGTCTGTGCTCTACAACTCAGATTCATGAATCAGAATTCCGACGTGTGGCAGGTTTGCAGTCTGCATCAAATAAGACACTAACATCGGCCTGATTCGAAGCTGCCAGGCAATCACATCGCACTTACCAGTTAATAACTCCGCAAGGATACTTCCGAAACTCCAGATATCGATTGAGACATTGTACTTGCAGCACAGCATCACTTTGGGAGTTCGATAAAATCGTGACTGGA